CGCTGTTCGAAAATATCTTAGTTAGTTATTATTCCTTTAATCAAATAACACTGTTAATATAAAATTGAAAACAATAAGAATACATCAATATATTTTATAAATATCGTGTTGACTAAAAACCTCTACAAACATATATTAATATAAAAATAATTTAATTTTTAGTGAATTTTCAAATGGATTAAATAAATACAGAATAAACATTTAAGCAACAGAAACTAAAGCATGTGAAGCATTACGATTGACAATACACCATTTGAGATGTTATAAGAAACCTAAATACCAGTTCGAACTACATTTATTTTAACGAGATAAATGTAAAATTAAAAAACAGAAAGTATATTAAAGTATAAGTTATGATGTCCATTGGTGCTGACTCTGTAACTAGTGTTTTTGCTTCTAAATTAAATATTAATGAAAATCTATCAGAAGCTACTATTCCTGTAGTTATAAGCCCAGTTTCATCAGACTCTAAGCCATCAAAGAGGGTAATCTCATCAGCTTCGTTAACTTCTGGAATGTCTGTTCCGACACTGGTAATTTCTTTTAATGTAAATAAAAATTTAAAAGCAAACTCCCTTTTTTTCTTTTCCTTAGAATAATACAACAAAATCAATAATATCATCAGCTAATTCACAAGACACTATATCGAATATAACATTGATGGGTTCAACTGCAGTTAAGAATTCAAATATAACTCGTTCTACTCTGTCATCACATTCATCTAGAGATTATAATCAACATGTTGAATCACTTTCAACACCATTACTTCTGTGTAATGATTCAAATGGTCAAATAGCTTCTAATTCTATCGATAGTAGGCAACAACAAGAGCCACTTTCAATTGCTAGTTTGGCATCATCGCTTGTGAATGACAATATATGTCATAGCCCGACTCAAATATTGAATGATATGATCGCAAATAATACCAATCAAACAGTTGCTGAGGATCCTCGCACACTTCAACTCGCTTTGGAATTATCAATGGTTGGATTAAATGAACCCTTGTCATCGCTATCAGCAACGTCTGCACAGCTTCAGACAATGCAACACTCCAATCAAAACTACCAACAACTATCACAACTACGTTCAAATCAAATAATGCCATCTGATCAGCAGTCAAATGATTTTGATATAAATACGTTAAATGTTATTAGTGCAGCTGTTGCTGCCGCTGCTGCATCAGTCACAGGAACGCACACAAATAATTTATTTAACAACAGTGTGTCAAATATAGTTTCTCTTAATCATTTTGTAAATAGCAACAATTCAACTTCTTGCTTTGCACCAAATTTGGAAGATCGATCGAAAAAATCACAAAATATGACGGAATGCGTTCCAGTACCCAGTTCTGAGCATGTCGCTGAAATAGTTGGACGACAAGGTATATATAAATTTCAATAATTATTTGCTGTCGCATAAAATGTCAAAATTAATCTAAGTTTTAATATTTATTAAATGCATATATCAAAATCAAATCATTATTTCGAGTCCAATTTCATCGTTTTACTGATGGAAAGAATTAAATAAATATATACATACCTTTCAAACAGATGGTTATGATACAAATAAATTATTTAGTATACCAGTTGTCTCTTATCAAAGCTACATCTCTGAAGGGATACTTTCAATAATAACCGATGTACACATTGCCAATAAAGTCTGCGTTCACCTTACGAGATTTGATATGTAATATAGAAACACAACATAAACATATTTTTCAAATTAAAATTTTTGTATACATTTATTTCTAAAGTTTAAAAAGAAGAAACAAAACTTTTAATTATTCTTTTAAATTTTGAAATAACTAGATAAATTCACACAATAAGTAAATATAGACCCAAAAAGTTTTTTTTGGAAATCATTTAAAAATTTTTGTGATATGATTTTTTATTCGTTTTTCGTAGATAACTTTTTTATATTATAAACAAGTTATGTGAAAAATAGTGTTTGTTTATGCTCTTCATAAGGAAGGATATCCGATTACGAAAATAATAAATATACGACATACATAAGAAAGAAAATATTGCCACATTTTTATCGAAAATGCTGCGTTAACTGGTTGGATCCAAATAATAACGACACAATAAGAATGTAACTAAATAGATAGAGCGATTTCGATAGAAAACGCATTTGACAGGATAACAGGTTCAAGCAGATACACTTCAATTTCACATCTTTATTTTTCCTTACATTTCAAATCTGTTCTTTATTCATGTAAAGATTTATCTCTTATTTCATTACGATAAGTGTTTGAATAAACTTGATTGTCCATAAAAACAAAAGATTAATATGGAATTTTGTGGTTTGTAGTGTCACTGTCTCAGTGAACGCGATTATTGAAGCTTGAAGAAAGCTTAGGTTATTCATTCAAATTATTTGTTAACATTCTTATGTTTTTATCGTTGTGTGATCCAAATTCAGCATGCGTTGCTTCAGTTGTTTCCATGCGTTAAATATTTTTCGATCTGCGCCGTGCACTTCGTGATTGACATGCCTTAAATTTCGTGCCACAATTCATCATAATGTAATTTTTTTGAATTAACACTGAAATTTGCAAAGTTGGCTAAAATGGTCAGCCAAATTTCAATAAAATTAAAATAAATTTTTGTGTTTATCCTTTTATCTTTTTTTGCTATTCAAAATCCCTCTAAATTTTAATAAAGCTCCTTTGTCACCAGCGTAGCTTTACAGCAACACGAGTACTTTATTCGAAAAAAATATATTCATAAATACACATACGAAACTATAAGAACTCTTTTTATTAAAAAGAAAGAGCATATAAACCCTTATACAAACAATCGCATAAATGCAATAAGTTTTGTTTACAATTTTATATATTAATAATAATTTTTAATTCAATTCAGCCTTTGGCAAATTCAATGAATTCCATTTAAACTTGAAATCATTTTCAGTGTTTGACGTAATTACAGCAGTGTTTGGTTGTGGATGGCTAACCATATATGAACAAATTTACCAGAGCTTCACTGAAAATAAAAGCACTGCTTCTGTTACGTATGTGAACATTAACATTAATATCAATATTAAGGACGTGTGTGAGTTAGGCTAAGTTGATGTTAAACCAAATGGGAAGTTTTTTGGGATTTTTTGCACTGCACACATTTAACCATTTATCAACACGTATCGACACATCACTACATTATCGGCACAACTTAGAATTTCCCTCATTTAGAATGCAACATAGCCTAACTCGCGAACGTCCTAAATATTGAATTTGTCGGGTAACTCGTAATACACCGGACAGCTTAATACATATGTTCAATAATTACATATTTGAAGTTTCGTCTTGTAATAAAATGATGCGGCTTTATTAGACATTCATTATTGTTTTATCTTACTTCGCCAACTTGACAATTTCTTAATTATAAAAACTTATCCATAGCCGATTACATTTTTACCATTATGCCTGATTTTTACCATTGTGCATTAAGCTCTTACTCAACACGTCTTGTATAGTCTGCTTCAAGTATTCATAATAAGGGCTTCTTTGTTTATTATTTAACGTTGTAGGATCATATTATGTGAATACCACCGAAGAGTAATCTTGAATTGTGTTGCATATTTTTAAAAGTTATTGATAGTTGGACTTACCAGCAGCTACATCATCAATATCACTTTTGAATCTTCTCCGGCAAATAGTTTGGAAACTGTTTCAGCTTCAATCACAAAAAAGGACTTCGAAAACTTTAGCTTGTTAATAATTTTTTGAACAGCTGATAATTTTTTCCACTTGATAATAAAAATCAGTGTTTCGCTTTTCTCTTCAAACTTTGAATATCTTGAAATTATACTTAATGCTATAACATCATGCTATAACGCAAAATAGTTTAATATGCTGAACTGATATCTTGATGTCAAACCAAGATTTAGGCGTTGTTTTTACTTGCAGAACCTTTATGCTTCAATGATTACGTACATATGTTGCTATATTGATAAATTTTGATTTTAATATTTGTGTTGCCTTTAATGCTGTAATCATATGTTATCTCTCTTTCGACGCGAGATCTGGTTTTTTTCCGTTTTGTTGCGGTATACACCGGTGTTCGAGGTTTAGTACCGATGACAATTTTATTTTCAGATAGAAAATATAAATTTCGTATATTTAAAGACTCAAATCTGAGAAATGTAATGAGTCATAATTATAACACTCGAGTACACTCATAAAAGCCCAAATCTAAATGCGTATGAATGTTTTTCTCACGCACTACTTATATGCATTCACATTCGCCTCAAAAGTGATTCATAGCATCCCAGTAGGGACCGTCATGCTGCTATCTTCCCTTACATCATGCTTACTTTTCGCCGGTCATCATGACGAGTTCCTTTCCAAATTCCCATGACTTTTATTAGCAGTTGGCCGCCGAAATCATGCATGACTTGGTAAAGTGCAAAAGGTATGCGGCACGAAATACGGAATTGACATTCGTAAAACTTCGTTTACGAATCCAAATGCACTTTACGATGGAAGCATGTTGTAAGCATGACAAAGTAAACTAAATCGTCATGGGCGATGCTTGTGCACGCAAAATATGAGGTGATCATTTTCTGCCTTACGACCTGCTTCCAAAGAAGGTGGTCACCTTCTTTTGTAGCTTACGAAGTCAGTAGGTTGTAAGGATGTTAAATGTTCTTGCATTTTACATATTTTTATTCTAAAATATGTAAATTTTTATAAAAAAAATAAAAAAACAATATATTTTTTTGTTTTAATTTATTAGAAAAATAAATAAACATTACAAAAACAATAGATTATAATTTTTTTTGGTTTGAATTTTTTTTTAAATATAAATATTATTAATTTTTTTTGTTTTAATTTTTTCTTTAATATAAATAAATAAAAATTACAATATTATAAATTATAATTTTTTTTGCTTTAAATTTTTTTTAATTTTTTTTTAATATAAATAAATAAAATTAACAAAAACAATATTTATTGATATTATAATTATAGATTTTAATTTTTTTTTGTATTTTTTCTTTGTTTTTTTTATTATTATAAATATTAAATAAATAAATAAAAATTATTTGCTGGTTTCTTCCACTCTGCGCTTCTTCCGGTCGTTGCACTGCTGTTTATAATGAATTCCTTTAACATTCTTTATGGCTATTCGTATATCCGAAATATACTCCTTTTCTGTATAGCCATCTTTTTGCAAGGCTTCTGTAAAGAAAAATAAGTTGTTAGTTTTATTTATTTATTTATATATATGCATCAATTTTTTTATACCGAATATTGAAGCATTTAAGAATTTAAATTCCTTAAATGCTTTTTTGGTGCCAATTCCATCATAATTTAACTCCAAAACTAACGTTCGATCGATGATTCGATGTAAGTTTTTTTTTATTCCCTCCGGTTGAATAGGAAAGCAGTTATCAGAAACTGCTGTATCGCTTCTCTTTTCCATCATGTTCATGAGTGTGTGGAATTTTGCTATAACGTCAATGTTACTTTCTGTAAAAAAAAGGGATTCTCATAAATAATTTTATTTTATTTAGTAAAATTAGTAATGTTACCTTTTACTAATTTCAACTCCTTGAGTATCGCGTCCTGATTTTGAGAAATTGAGAAATAATAACTAACAACTTAAATTAAAATATAAACAAATAATTAAATAATAACAATTATTATTAAAATAATAAATAAATATTCCAGTAAATAAACTGGAAACAGCAACAGAACTGTAGACTGAAACAGAAATAATAAATATAGTTTTTAAAAAACACGCCAGGTATATAAAGCGCAATCAAAAAAAATGTTTTCAATTTAAATTTCAACTTACACTGGAATTCCGAAGGAAAAACAATAATTAATATTGTTAAACACAAATTCACAATATATTATAAATTTCTTTTGTTTATTCGTTTATAATATTCGTTTATTAATTTATTAAATTTAATAAATTTA